AGAATCAATGCCTTCCTCCCCTAGTATACACCCTGTAAAGGAGCTTCAGGTATTAATCAAGGTTCACATTTAGAATTCATATTAACGAATTTTGAATGTCTATTTATCTGTCAAAATATTTATCTAATAATTAATTCAGTTTGTGTAGTATTAAGAAAATTTGATGTCGTTTTTTTTAATTTCATTCACCTGTCTATAATTTTACAATGTTTCATCTTAAGTGTAATTGCCGTTTTCTGTTAATATAACGCTACTCCATTAAGTTTCGTTTGATTTCGTTTTAATAATGTTTTGCTTATTTAACCGATTTTGGTTTTGGGCACGACATTAATATCACAAGAGAATACATTCATACATATGATCTGAAAATTCGCAATGAACTAATGAAATAACTCTGTGAGACGAGACTGCAGCCCAGCACTCTTAATATTGTGCTAGAGACTGATAATTACTGATCTAACCAGTAAATGTTTTTAACCGGAAAGGTCAGTGCCAGTCACTGCTTCAGTCCAGGTTGAGGCTCTACTTACCACCCATAGTAGTACAGAAATAAGATTCTCTGCACATCTCTTTATATTAGACAGTGCCACAGTGTCCTCGGCCTGGGCGTTGATGTCGGTTATAAAGTATTGTGGATTCTGAAGTAACATCTGGCTCAGGCATCAGATCGGTGGAAACTGTTTGGAACGTTGTAACCTTTATAGGCAGATACCGAACTTGCACACGAAAATCACTCACTACGAAAGCAAAAGACTTGGCAGACGATGCACCATCCCCCCAATGAAAAGCAGGGGTGTCACTAGCACGTTAAGAGACCATACAATAAGTGTCAGGGGCCCGAGACTGTTCAACTGCCTCCCAGCACACATAAGGGGGATTACCAACAGACCCCTGGCAGTCTTCAAGCTGGCACTGGACAAGCACCTAAAGTCAGTTCCTGATCAGCCGGGCTGTGGCTCGTACGTTGGTTTGCGTGCAGCCAGCAGCAACAGCCTGGTTGATCAGGCGCTGATCCACCAGGAGGCCTGGTCACAGACCGGGCCGCGGGGGCGTTGACCCCCGAAACTCTCTCCAGGTATTTGACGAAGGTGAGATACTCTGCCATCAGAGAGTAGATTTGGTAGTTATAATCTGATATCTTTTGTACTATCATGTAAATGTGCTGATTACCAGACCTTTACTTATGTAGCAGACCTACACAATCTATAATAAACTCAGAAACTTGTTCCTTAATAGCCGAAATTGGGGATAATGGTGCTACCTTTTATTGGACAGGAAACTCTGTAGTGGAGGGATTTTGATGTGCTTCCAATATGTTATAGATTGGCATATTCTAAGACCTTTTATCTCTTATGATTTTTGCCGTAACTTTCATAGTTTCTTTGTTAAGACTATTTGAATGTGAGTCTAAACAGGCATTATTACTACTTATGAGCAATTGTAATTTACCATCTCCTAGGCCTAGGGCGACACTGTTTCACATCTCAGTTCCTTACTCTACTTGGGTAGGATCTAGCGCTTTTTGACTGGTTAGTTTTTGAGTGACGAGGCTTTGTGAAAAATTTCACGAGCCCCTGAAAGGCTCTAAAAAGGCCTATATATATTTTTTACTACTGGACGTTCATCACAGACTATGATGTATCTTCTGACATCTTTGCTCAAGCCCGGCCAAATAGAGTTTCTGGTTGTCATAAAAACAGTATTAGTAAATCTCAGGTGTCCTTGCATAGAAGAATTATGGGCGGCACGAAACACGGGCCTCAAAAACATTTAGGTATGACTACCTTTTCTAAGATCCTGCAGGTATATATTCCCTTAAAAGTTTTAGTAAACTTTCATGAGAACTCCATTATTGGAGAAGAAACATGAAGGCAAACTGACCACTTCGGCATCAGACACTACCCATGTAAATGCTACACACACGAGTAAGAAGTGCGGGCCCTGAGTTCCCCCCACAAATTACATATGCTATCATTAAACGAAAAGTTTAACTCATAATCTGGAAGACCCAAAGAAAGATTAACAATCTCATCAGTCTCTCTTCCATATATCTGGATATACAACATTAACTGGAAAATAAAGCCATTACTTTGTACTTCGGTTAGTATCCACTGCTACATAAGGACAAAAACACTTGATGCCAGAACATCTTTACTAATTAATAAAAAAAATTATGTAGTGGTACAGAAATTACTGTACCACCATTTGTGTTAATTAAATTATTATTGAGATAAGTGTCCTCTGATATTGGTCGGGAACCTTCCCGCAACACTGAGAAGATATCTCATTCAGTGCAACATGACAACTTGACATGTATCCTGACAACGTGACATGCAGCCTGACAACCTAACATGCAGCCTGACGACCTAATATGTAGCCTGACAACCTGACATGCAGCCTGACAACCTGACATGCAACCTGACATGCAGCCTGACAACCTAACATGCAGCCTGACGACCTAATATGTAGCCTGACAACCTGACATGCAGCCTGACAACCTGACATGCAACCTGACATGAAGCCTGACAACCTAACATGCAGCCTGACAACCTAACATGCAACCTGACGACCTAACATGCAGCCTGACAACCTAACATGCAGCCTGATTGCCTGACATGCAGCCTGATTTCCTGACGTGCAGCCTGACAACTTTTCACGCAGTCTGACCTGACATGCAGCTTGACAACTTGACATGTAGCCTGACATGCTGTCCGTAACATCGTCATGGGACACTGGACAATCTAATAGAATATACTTAAGACTCATGGGTTATTTTTTCATTTATTTCCCATGTGCTGTAATCTTTACTATCTATCTTTGAAAATGAGTTGGGAAAATATTTTTGTTTAGTGGGCTTGGGTTTGAGAAGAACCTGCTTAGTATGGGCCAATAGGCCCTTACTAGGCAGTGTTCCTCCACTCTCATGTTCTTATGTTTTCCTACATACACACTGAAGGTACTGTAACTCCTTGAGGAGTTATTTTTTTTTTTTTTTTGTATTACCAAAAAAATTAACTCCTCAAGTTTTTATGGAAGCCAGAAAATAATTATCTTCTTTTAAGTTAGCTGGGAATTATATTAAATCTTGCTCAACAAACTAAACCGTTTAGTGCCCGCAGCTTCAAACTCACGCAGATAATGTATACCCTGTACCTTTGCACTCTATTCGGTAATAATAAAGAATAGTAATAAACAGAGTAAAGTCTGAGGCGGCTCCTGTGTAAAGCTCTGTTCCACAAGACACAGTACTCGCTCCCATCCTGTTCCTCATCCTCATATCTGACATAGACAGGCATGTAAGCCATAGCACCGTGTCTGCCTTTGAAGATGACAACTGAATTTGCATGACAGTGTCCTCCATTGTAGACACTGCAAGACTCCAGGCGGATATCAACAAATCTTTAAATGGGCCGCAGAAAACAATATGAAGTTCAATGATGTGAAATTTCAACTACTCCGATATGGAAAACGTGAGGAAATTAAAACTATATAGTAGTATAAAACAAATTCCAACCACACAATAGAGCGGAAAACTAATGTAAAAGATCTGGGAGTGATAATGTCAGAGGATCTCACTTTCAAAGCCCACAACATTGTATCAATCGCATCTGCTAGAAAAATGACAGGATAGATAATGAGAACCTTTAAAATTAGGGATGCCAAGCCTATGATGACACTCTTCAGGTCACTTGTTCTATCCAGGCTGGAATATTGCCTCACACTAACAGCACCTTTCAGGGCAGGTGATATTGCTGACCTACAAAATGTACAGAGAACCTTCACGGCACACATAACTGCGATAAAACACCTTAGTTACTGGGAACGCTTGACATTCCTCAACCTGTACTCCCAAGAACGCAGGCGGGAGAGATACATGATTATATACACTTGGAAAATCGTAGAGGGATTAGTACCAAACTTGCACACGAAAATCACTCCCTATGAAAGCAAAAGACTCGGTAGACGATGCAACATCCCCCAATGAAAAGCAGGGGTGTCACTAGCACGATAAAAGACAACACAATAAGTGCCAGAGGCCCATGACTGTTCAACTGCCTCTCAGCATACAAGGGGATTATCAACAGACCCCTGGTTGTCTTCAAGAAGGCGCTGGACAAGCACCTAAGTCAGTTACACAAATAACCCGCGCATAAAAGAGAGAAGCTTACGACGACGTTTCGGTCCGATTTGGACCATTGACAAAGTCACACTGTGTCAGTGTGACTTTGTCAATGGTCCAAGTCGGACCGAAACGTCGTCGTAAGCTTCTCTCTTTTATGTGCGGGTTATTTGTGTATCGTTCCAGTCACGGTATTGTGCCTTTTTGTTACTTAAGTCAGTACATGACCAGCCGGGTTGTGGTTCATACGTCGGGTTGCGTGCGGCCAACAGTAACAGCCTGGGTGATCAGGCCCTGATCTACCATGAGGCCTGGTCACAGACCGGGCCGCGGGGGCGTTGACCCCCGAAACCCTCTTCAGGTATACTTCAGGTATACCAATGAAATTTATACATTTACACTTATTCCCACGGAAAGAAAGACATATACCTCCAAATGCCAGAGAAAATTTAAGTTTTTTTTTTTCCAGAGCCGCTTGATACAGATAGTGCTACACTAAGCCCCTGAAAAATATTAAATAAACACTGTAATTGTGAGTTGCGTTTTGCTTCACTTTCATACACTAAATCCTGGATATATTTACATAAATCTGAGATTTGAAACCTTCAGCAACTTGTCTATATATCACTCGTTCCATTTATCTTCGCAATCGCTTATTAGGATTCTTTTCTGCAACAAATACGCGTCACTAAGGTATACAAAGTGGATGATTACACCGCGGCAGATGCGTAATCCAGAGCGACTACGCATCTTAATTAACATCACATAGCAGTCTTTGTATTCACAGCTATTTCCCGAATCAAACACGGTAACTACTGACACAAAACACTCGGTGGATGAGGGAGATATTGCATCACCGCGGTAGCGACGAGCTTCACACCTTGGTGTACAGGTGATATATCCTGCTGCTCACGTTACCATGAGACTCGTGCACCCAACATAGTCGTCTCCACATGGTAACCTTAGTTTTCTTTTGCTTGCCACAGAAAACGAGCGTTAATGTCACGCGCTTCAAAGAAAATTGAACTAAGAGTTTTGCTGAAACCGGGAAAATGGGTATTAACGAGCGATATTGATAATCAGTAATGCTGTGCAAACTCAGCACAGTCAATGACACTGTTTTGCCATCGTTGAAATCTGTTATTTTTTTTTAACACTGTAGCTACACTGCCATAGTGTCCATAATAGGGGAAGTTATAATGCGACTTGTCGCAGAAAGCTTGTCCGGAGTCTCTGGACTGGTTTATACAATGCCGTAGTTCCATTGTCTCAGACTGTTTTGCGAGTCTTTATGATGCTAATCAAGTCGAAACGGCCACTTATTAAACGTCTTGATCGATCAGCGCATACGTGTCTTTTACCCACAACATACTGTATATGCTTCCGTGAACGTGTTTTGTTTAGTCAGGAGAAGCATAAGCAAAGAATTTTTCATCAGATTCCATCAGAAATCCGTGTTGGAATGTCTATTGTTTACAACACGTTTAAACTCTTGGTGCAAATGTTACTATGTAGAGTGAGCCAAAAACATCAACATCCAAGTATATACCTTTCGGCCAAATTCTGAAATTGTTTCTCCATCTTCCACCGTCAGTTTGTACAGTTGTTAATTAATGTACGGATTCTTTCGTCAGTTTGATTGAATACCTCTCTTACTGCTTGTCTGAATTCTTCCCAGCTGGTAAAATTTTCAAAGCACGCCAGCTAATTGTCACATGGAACAGTGGTTTACCTGGAGTTTACCTGGAGAGAGTTCCGGGGGTCAACGCCCCCGCGGCCCGGTCTGTGACCAGGCCTCCTGGTGGATCAGAGCCTGATCAAACAGGCTGTTGCTGCTGGCTGCACGCAAACCAACGTACGAGCCACAGCCCGGCTGATCAGGAACCGACTTTAGGTGCTTGTCCAGTGCCAGCTTGAAGACTGCCAGGGGTCTGTTGGTAATCCCCCTTATGTGTGCTGGGAGGCAGTTGAACAGTCTCGGGCCCCTGACACTTATTGTATGGTCTCTTAACGTGCTAGTGACACCCCTGCTTTTCATTGGGGGGATGGTGCATCGTCTGCCAAGTCTTTTGCTTTCGTAGTGAGTGATTTTCGTGTGCAAGTTCGGTACTAGTCCCTCTAGGATTTTCCAGGTGTATATAATCATGTATCTCTCCCTCCTGCGTTCCAGGGAATACAGGTTTAGGAACCTCAAGCGCTCCCAGTAATTGAGGTGTTTTATCTCCGTTATGCGCGCCGTGAAGGTTCTCTGTACATTTTCTAGGTCGGCAATTTCACCTGCCTTGAAAGGTGCTGTTAGTGTGCAGCAATATTCCAGCCTAGATAGAACAAGTGACCTGAAGAGTGTCATCATGGGCTTGGCCTCCCTAGTTTTGAAGGTTCTCATTATCCATCCTGTCATTTTTCTAGCAGATGCGATTGATACTATGTTATGGTCCTTGAAGGTGAGATCCTCCGACATGATCACTCCCAGGTCTTTGACGTTGGTGTTTCGCTCTATTTTGTGGCCAGAATTTGTTTTGTACTCTGATGAAGATTTAATTTCCTCATGTTTACCATATCTGAGTAATTGAAATTTCTCATCGTTGAACTTCATATTGTTTTCTGCAGCCCGCTGAAAGATTTGGTTGATGTCCGCCTGGAGCCTTGCAGTGTCTGCAATGGAAGACACTGTCATGCAGATTCGGGTGTCATCTGCAAAGGAAGACACGGTGCTGTGGCTGACATCCTTGTCTATGTCGGATATGAGGATGAGGAACAAGATGGGAGCGAGTACTGTGCCTTGTGGAACAGAGCTTTTCACCGTAGCTGCCTCGGACTTTACTCTGTTGACGACTACTCTCTGTGTTCTGTTAGTGAGGAAATTATAGATCCATCGACCGACTTTTCCTGTTATTCCTTTAGCACGCATTTTGTGCGCTATTACGCCATGGTCACACTTGTCGAAGGCTTTTGCAAAGTCTGTATATATTACATCTGCATTCTTTTTGTCTTCTAGTGCATTTAGGACCTTGTCGTAGTGATCCAATAGTTGAGACAGACAGGAGCGACCTGTTCTAAACCCATGTTGCCCTGGGTTGTGTAACTGATAGGTTTCTAGATGGGTGGTGATCTTGCTTCTTAGGACCCTTTCAAAGATTTTTATGATATGGGATGTTAGTGCTATTGGTCTGTAGTTCTTTGCTGTTGCTTTACTGCCCCCTTTGTGGAGTGGGGCTATGTCTGTTGTTTTTAGTAACTGTGGGACGACCCCCGTGTCCATGCTCCCTCTCCATAGGATGGAAAAGGCTCGTGATAGGGGCTTCTTGCAGTTCTTGATGAACACAGAGTTCCATGAGTCTGGCCCTGGGGCAGAGTGCATGGGCATGTCATTTATCGCCTGTTCGAAGTCATTTGGTTATCAACACCTCTGACTCATCGGAGTCGTGTACCTTTTCAATTGTCTCATTCACATTTCTACCTGCCTGTTTCGGTCAAATGGTTCCTAAGGCCAAGCTCTACTCTGAGAACTGTAAATTCTGTAAATTTTCGTGGAATACAACTTATTGCTGGTGCCATGCCAGTGTTGTCTATCGCCAGATGTTGTGAGGTAACATGAGTGTCATGAATCCTTATAGATGGTAAAATTTGGACAGAAGAGTTATTTACCTACTTGCATTAATACCATCTTCGTGGAATGTGCAAGTAAATATTTGGAAGAGGTGCCAATGGGGCTAAAGAATGACAGACCGTAGATCAGTACCAGAGCCAGGGTCCACATTTAATCCAACCATAGTCGAAAATTTCCTGCTTCCTGGGGAGGATGATGTTACTTCCCCAACACCGGCTCGTGTTTCAAAATCCAGGTGCATCTTACTTTGTCTACTGCATCATATACATTAGTTTTATATAATGAGCAAATTATACTGTTTATGGATTTGTGTCTTATTTTACCAATACATATACTGGTAAATTTGTTAGTTATAAAAATGAGTTGTAGCCTAATAATTTTAAGATGACACACAAGCAGTTCAACTCAGCATAGTATCTATAGGAAAATGTGTCCCTATTAATAATCAATGTCAAATATAAATCACACTATAAACGTTAGTTAGCATCAATATCCCAAACCACACAAGCCATAATCGTCAATAGCTTAATCAAAAAGTGATAGCAATAGACTTGCAAATACATTTAAAATGCATTAATAAGCTATTATACACAAAGTTGTCATGAATTAACAGGTTTTAGGAGCTGAGGTAAAGGCGTGCTAGATTCTTAACAAAATGTACCACATACTTGACACCACTGTTTTCCAACAACAAAAATGGGACAGAAGTGGTCTTCTTTATACGCTTATGTATTCTAACGTGATATATTCTGCACACCACATCACTTGTGGATAATGGCTAAATATCACTAAACTTCTTAACTGGACTACAGTGTCCGGTTACAGCTCAATACTCAATATGAGGCTACAAATATGCCCCAGTGTAAACAGAAAAATGTGGGTAGAAAACACAAAATGTAGTAAACGGAATAATTTAGACAGTTACTGTGGAAAAAAATGATAATTTTCCTGTGATTTGTGTGATGGTTGACAGGAAAGTAATGTTTATGTAATAGCGTAGGTGTGTATCTTTAATGAGACTTAAAATGTGGTGAGGTCAGGTGTTTTTGGTTGGATGATGAGTGTCTTTTATACAAATTTGTAAGTCACACCCAGTAGCTTAAAATTGTTTGGGGTGATACCTTCATTACTGTAATAGGCTTTAAAATAATTTGAGTGTGTATTGCAGTTATTTGATGCTTCTGGCAGTTTGCCGACTGATGATGCAACGTCATGTTTCGTTGCATACTTCGTTGTCAGTATTTAGCATTATGTTAGAACGTTCTGCTTGTGTACAGCTATTCACATGAGCTTCTAGTTGTTCCCAGAACTTTCAAGTATTGTTCCTATCTTCTTCAATTATAGAGCTATAGTGCCTTGCTATATGTAAGGGCCATATAACACCTTGGGAATGGTAGAGGTGGGGATAATCAGGTCTGATCCAAGATAGCTCCAGATCCTTGAATCAAGATCCTTCACCAGCATTAAGGTACCATTCTTGAAGCAGCCCTAGACCCACAGTTGGTCTAAATAAGGAGAACATGCCTAAGTCGCATTTAAAAAAATTAAAAAAATAGGTGTGCAATTCTCAATTAAGGAAATTAACTGATACCTATATTTTTACCCTCAAAGGGGAAAAAAATCCACAGCTATTTCAAAATAAGATTTTTCATATTTTTAATACCATTTTGAAAATCAGTTTATAAAATGGTTAGACATTTGTAAATTTTAATACAACATACAGTTTACGGATAAATGCTCAGAGCATAAAAGAATATTAAAACAAAGTAAAATTTGTACTTTTGTTTATTTGGAACTTGTAGACTAGACAAAATTTGTAAATTCTTATATTTGTGGAAGCTAGAAAGTGAGCTGATTTAATGAATCTATAGATAGCATTCATATCTTAGTCTATATATAGTAATTTAGCTCCTCTAAACACGGGAAACTAACAATAATTCCACATTTTTTAAGTTAATTCATACATGGAAATTCTAAGTTAATACTACAAACATGGTATTACAAAATCAGTCATATATGTATGTAGAAGTAGGCATGTATGATCATACATATGTACAAACATATGCATAAAACACATGACAAACTAGAATTGTATACAAAATAGTTTTCTTCAATATAAAAAATACCCCAAATCGGAAATAAAACAGCATGTCGCTTAATTGTTTACTCACAGCCTAATGTACAGAATAACATGATATAAATCAAAATCACAGCCATAACCATAGTAGATTCTGTATTTAACTTAAAGAAAACATTACCGAACAATATACTCTATAACCTTCATTTTCAATGTGTTTCGACTGGTTTTTGTAATAGCAACAAACTATAGTTGCACTAAACATTGGTAATTTTACCAGCGTGAGGCCCATTAGCCCTAGACTAGAGTCATGGCAGTATGAAATAAGTTCATGTAATTATGTGGAGGTAGCATTTAAAAGTAAAATTGCTATATAAATGTTAAAATTATAATAACGAGAAACAAAGTTTTGAAAATGAAATCACTCTACGTGTGTTGTTACAGAGGTTAATCCTTAAACTGTCCAGACGTAGATCTACGTTTTTTCAACATTTGAAAGTATGTAAAAAAAGTAGATCTTTTCTTTTTTTACATTTGAAAATGTGTAAAAAAAACTTTGATGTACTTTTTTTGTTATATTTGAAAATATGTAAAAAAAAAAAAAAAACGTAGATCTACTTTTAGAGCACTACGCATGTGAACATAGATCTGCTTGGACAGTTTAAGGGTTGAGAAGAAACAGAGAGAACTTTTTGTTTAAGTAATAAGTACAATTTGTACAAGTAATGAGTAAACTATGTCAGTTTCTCGTTTCATAACATAATGTCGGTGGCGGAAGAAATGTGAATGTGTTGTCACCGATGATATAGATCAGCCTAAATAAAACTAAGCTATCATCATCATCACATTCTATTTAGTGGTGTATTCTATGCAATATTTTTTTCTGGGGAGAGGAGAACCAAGTCATACCTCAGAAAAACTTAACAGCTCATTCATTCTGGGTTCTGCTACCCATGTCCTTAATTAGTATTGTGATTCGTACATATAATTCCGAAAATATCAGTTAAGTATTTAGGAATAATAGTATGAAATTATGACTAACAACAGTAGGTAATTTTACACATCATCCTAGAGCATCAGGTGACTTAGTATGACCTATCTATAAAAATAAAATATAGAACGTGCTACATATTTTATCAGGAGTAAAACTGATTTTTACCTGCAATTGAAATTTGTCACATGTATAAAGCAGGACCTGAACTCTTTCTTTGTGTTCACACACACCTCTTCAGAGGTACTAAGAAAGAGTACCTCACCTTAATTTTACATAGCTCCAAATTTTTTTTCTCTTCGTTGTTAGTACCTCTGAAATGTGAGTCTGAATACATGAAATTAGCTTCCCATTCTCTAAAACTTGACTAAATAAAGAATGCAGTTATTTACCACTAAAAAAACAAACACACAAGAATTAAACTGTAATTAGGAACTTACAATAGTTCAGTTATATACATATTACAGTTTTCATAAATACTTAACTGACAAATATTCACTTGTTCCAGCCCTTTAACAAACCTTCCTCATGGAATTAATTATCCGTGGTATGGGTTCATCATTTTAAAATATTGTGTTCTTTTTTTACACTGCTGAAAGACTTTTGTTCGGTTATAATCTCCACATCATTATATAGTACACTTGTAACATTAGAAGATAATTTTTTTTACAGCTATGGGAGTTTCGAAAACAGCAACAAAATTGATACAAGAGGAAATACCACAATATAGGTTTTTCTATTTGGGGAATTATTATTATTATAATCAAGGGGGAAGCGCTAAACCCGGAGGATTATACAGCTCTATTTGGGGAAGAAAGGAGAGCAGTATTATTGGCATACAAATTAGACACGTCTAGTTTTAGTTTTATCAGTATTGTGGCCGAATATAGGCCTACTGTGTATCATTCTTATGCTATTTGGAATATCTGCGGGCATTATATTATCATTATCTATTAACTGACTAGAAAACACTTAAAAATATATTTAACATGTGTACACTGGTCTGTTGTTTTTCAATGTATGCATCAATTAAATTACAATCCTCGAGGTCAAAAAGTGACGAGATGCGAATGTGAGATGGTCCATCTAGAAACGCGCCAGGTTTGGCACCTGACAGGCATAGTGAATAACAAACGTAAGGTGATGGTGATTAACAAACGTCAGTATGGTGATGGTGACTTACAAATATGATGATGACTTACAATGAAGTTATTGTGATAGTGATTGACATACATGTCTGTATGGTGATCGTGACTGATATACTTAATGACTTAGATAAGCATGTTTCTGTAGTGATGGTCTCACAAATCTGCAGATATGTTATAATGCCTTGACAAATGTGTCTGTATGGTAATGGTGAATGACAAACATATCTGTATGGTGATTGTGAATGCAGATTTGCATGACGACTGGTAATCAAGTGACAAAGGCTAACAGTTTAACCCGAAATATAACCTCCAAGATATACAAACATGAAGTAATCAGCGCCTGTACCTGCCTGTTGTTACCATTACAACGATAACTATTGTCAAGACTACCATAAGAGCAACATCCCAGGCAGGTAACAGTGCATCTAAATTTGAAAATAAATTGCTTCGTTTCCTAGGTAGCCAATTAGTAGCATATATATCAAGGCCGAGGGTGGAGTTAACAGCAAGTAGGAGATTCATCCTGAAGAGTGCTAACCCGACAGGTACATAGGCATCTGGGCTGGCCTCAAGGGCAGCTTCGTACAACATTCTGGCGTTGGTGATATTCTGACTCACTCCCTGGCCCCACTCTTTCATGTTGGCCATGTTAAACATGGCCTGAGCGCTGCCCATCTTGGCGGCGTCACTGTAATGTTGGGCTGCAGCTATTACATCTAGCGGGACACCCTGGCCATAGTAATACATGTCACCGAGGCGCAGCTGCCCTGCAGCAACTCCTGCATCTGCAGCACGCTGCCACACCTTCAGGGCCTCACTCTGGGCTGCCTCTACACTGCTGTACACGCCGGTCACACCAGAGTCTAGTAGACGACCTGCGTTTACATGTGCTGACGTGTACCCCATGTCTGAGAGCAAGAGGTACTTGAGAAGTGCTGATGAGTAAAGTCCCCGCCTGTAGTCATCGTAGGCGGCCTCCTGCAGGTATTGCCAGCTTCCTGAGAGTGCAGTCATCCTGTACAGTGGGAGAGCTTTATGACACCAATTTTCTGCCAAGGCCGAGGTACTATCTTTGACTACGGTGAACGCTGTTTTGGTCATCTTCTGCCAGTAGTTCTCAGCCACTTTGAAAGCTGAGGGCACATGACCAAACATGGCTGACACTTCCCACATCATCATGGCTTCCTCTACCGACCCTGAACTGTCGGGGTCTTCATATAATTTACCTAATAAGTAGAATGCCTCAACACTGCCCATTTTGATGCCTTGCTGCAGGTGTTTTTTAGCTTTTCCTAAATTTTTAGGCACATCCCCATACCCTTTTAGGTAGAGTAGACCTAAATATGTATGGGCAGTCTTATCTCCGAAAGCAAGAGCTGTCTGAAGTAGGTCAAGTGTGTCATCACGGTCTGGAGTGACAGTGTTGTGGAGGTGCATAGCAGCCAGCATCACCATGGCGGTGGTGATGTTTGCCTCCGCCGCCTGCCGCAGGTACTCAGCAGCACGTACAGGGTCATACCCTACATCGGGCACACCCTTGTAAAGGATGATTGCAGCTCTGAGGGCAGCCTCGTGGTCACCAGTCATGGCTGAGTACTCCAAAAACTGGAACTCGTCGAGGGAGGGTATCTGGTAGGTCATTAGTGTGGTGTCGTCCTCATCCCATATATATCTGGGTGGAGTGCGGCTCTTTGCCTCATCACTGACGGTGTCAGCAACGGTGGTTGCTGCTCGTCGCAGGTACTGGAGTGCTGCTTCACAATCACCACCACTCCAGTAGTGCCCACCCACCATGATCTGCGCCAGGGGGTCTTTGTTGATGGCAGCCAACAGGTAGTGCGACACAGCCTGGTTCTGGCGCTCCTGCTGTGTCAGAGAGCTGCCTGTCAGGTTATGGGAAAGCAGGAGGGCCTGGGTAGTGTGGGCACGAGCTCCCCCAACACTCACCAAGCTGCTTGATGATGCTGCTGCCCCAGCGATGTCCTGGGTCACACCTATACCCAGGAGGTGTGCCAGGGTCAAGTCACTCTGGGCGTCCAGGTTGCCCTGACTGGCCGCCTGTTGTAGCACCTCCACGCCCCATGCTGCCTCCTGCTGGTGGAAAAGGGCGTCCACCGCTTTTTCTCTTTGCTGGCGCCACTCTGCTACTTCACCACTTCGTACCTTAATCACCAGCACTATTATACCTATAGTCAGTCTCGCCCACATTATGTTTATGAGTGCAAATATAAAGTCTCACATATAATGACAATTGTATACACAAGCTGTAGTGTTCACAGTGCGAATTCTCTCTACTAAGTTATTGCTATCTAGCTGATGATATAGACTGAGTTCCACCTTGAAAGACAGCGGTATATATGGCTTTAAGGCGACGTGTCACACTGTGATAAGATAAACCTGAATCACTGACGCAACTACGACCTCAAGCACCGTGAGATGCTCTTATCTGACGTGTTATTTCTACTCCTTAAAAAATGGTCCTGACATTTAACATTCAGTGACAAGTAATTGTGGTAATGTTTATACTCATACTAAGGTATGCATTGTATTTTAATAGTTCACGTAAGCAAATTTCTTGTATGTATAACTGATAGTTGTGGTTTTTCAGAATAACTAATATAACATGTGGTAAGTATGTTTGTTTACAAATGTCCTGAGAGTTGAGGGCTGCAATGTTTTTTCAGGATATTACATCATTTCTGTAAATAGTAGATAAACTTTTATAAGTGTATGCCTGTTGTTGATATTCTAGTGATTATTTTATTAATAATTTTCAATGACTTACATAATAAAATAATGCAGCACGAGAAACTGCTTTATTATTATTACATTTATTGTGTATAAAGAAAAGCGCTAAAACTGTATGGGTGACACAGTATCTGGGAAATGTTAGGAAATCAGGTTCTATCCAAGGAAGGAGAGGACACCTCTAATTTCTTGGATTAAGAGCCCTCACAAGCATCGAGGAACTTCCACAAGACGGATGAAAATTACAAAATTGAAATAACACACAATATTTATCATAGTAAATACATTATTTTTTCGTGAATACAACATCGTATGTGATACAAAAAAAATAGTAGTTAAAAGAGGATTACTGCATTATAATCATGATGTAGAAAGTTTCCTGATATTAAGAGGGAGGGTGAGGGAGTGAGCAGCTACACGTCAGTCACAGTCCATGTCAGTATCATAAACATTCAGAAGTGGTCCAATCACTCCAGTTCTAAAAGCTATTAACATATATAAAACTTTAGAATATTACAAGAAAAGATAATATATTATTTAGATATATCAAATTTTGGAGTGGTAACTTAATTTCCGCTGATGATTATTTTAAGAATTTGACTAAATAGATAACTTTTATATTATAATAAGGTAAAAGGACCCCAATGGAAATAAGTCACTGTGACTTTTTTTGGATTATCCCAGGTTCTCTACACATATGCTGCTATGTATGATAATCTATGTAACTCTGTGTAACTCTCTTAATAAACTTGCCTAACCACCTGTTTTGTTATATGATACTGACTTGGTGACATTCGGCCCATCACCAGCTGTTGCTAACTATAGTGAAGCTTTTCAACTCGTAATATGAATGTTAGTGAAAGTTTATATTATTATAAATCAGTAATAATTTCTTTGTTATGCTAGTTATCAATGGGTATTGTATAAGGTTAGAGAAGTGACCGAATCGATTCCACTAAATATCCTGGGATAGCGTCTTGAGTTACTCCAGGATACCCAAAGAAATCCTGGTTCTTGATTATTTCCATTATTGGATGTCTTTCCCAGGATGTAACACACAATACTTGATTAACATAGATATTGTTGGTTTGTATTCCTCTGTCATTGCAGCAGGAAGGTTATTGATGGTAGACGTGTTAAAGTTCCTCGTAGCTCGGTTGCTAGGGAACTCAGTTCACACATTAAGTGTCCGTGGTTCGATCCCCAGTACGGGTGGGAGCATTGGGCGGGTTTTCCTTAAGTCACCTGTGATGTTTGACCCTTGTCGGTTTAGCACTTTGTTATGATTATTATAATTAAGGTGGCCCGGTGGCCTGGTGGCTAAAGATCCCGCTTCACACACGGAGGGCCCGGGTTCGATTCCCGGCGGGTGGAAATATTTCGACACGTTTCCTTACACCTGTTGTCCTGTTCACCTAGCAGCAAATAGGAACCTGGGTGTTAGTCGACTGGTGTGGGTCGCATCCTGGGGGACAAGATTAAGGACCCCAATGGAAATAAGTTAGACAGTCCTCGATGACGCACTGACTTTCTTAGGTTATCCTGGGTGGCTAACCCTCCGGGGTTAAAAATCCGAACGAAATCTTATCTTATCTTAAGGCGCTAGCTGTCCCTATTAACCTAGCTGTAAATAGGTTCCTAGGTGTTAGTCGAGTGGTGTGGGTCGCATCCTGGGGACAAAATTAACCTAAGTTGCCTGAAATGCTCTGGCTAACGCGGCGGGCTGGAGTTTTGAGACTCTCTGACCGCGGGTTCAATCCCAGCCGGGGTATGGTTTGAAATGCTCTGCTTAACCACAGGCTTTCTATATATTATGTCATTAATGTCAGCTAGGTCTGTATAAGTTGCATCATGTACTTGTAGAAATAAAAATTATTGTTATTGGCATTAGTATAATTATTATTAAGAACTATTTTGATATTAAAAAATTAAGATTTCCAAAATTTGCCAAATTATAATTTAAATTGTGTTATGTGAATTTGTTACACATGTAAAAACCTTACCTTCTCACCCTACTTGAATTGTCATGACTAAAAAGATGAAATAAGAGATAGGGAATTATCATAATCATAAATTGACACAATAAATATTTTCCTCAGTAAAATAGACATTTAGGTTTTGGATACTTTTCATACAATTTTTTTTTTACAGTTTGTCTTTAGGTTAAACGTGTTATGGGCATATAAAAAGTACATTGCATAGATTTAACCTGCTTTACAGTACTTTGCTTTAAGAGTGTTTTGCCAATGCAGCAGTTCTGCAGTTATACCCATTCTTCACTTATTCAGACTTCCTACAATAAAAATATTCACCACTCACTATAAGCTAAGGATGAAAATATTTTAAGCTAAGTAATGTGTGTACTGTACAGTGGACCCTCGGTTATCAGCCGTTCCTGTTATCAGCCAACTTGGTGATCGGCCAGTTTTTCGGCTCCTGGTGATCGGCCGCTATTTTGGTGGTTGGCTGTTTTGGACATGTCCATCCGCCAGCTGGGGCTGCTTGTACGCCAGCTTGGCTGTGTATTTCGGTGCGTGAGGAAGCTTCTGCTCATACATCCAAACATTTCACTTGTTTTCCATTGTTTTTTGTGGGTTTTTGCAGTGAAACTGTGCAATAAGTAACCATGGCTCCAAAGAAAGTTCCTAGTAAAGTTCCTCTGGTAAAGAAAGTGAGAAACGCCATTGAATTTAAGCGTGAAGTGTAGCAGGCATGCAGGAAGTGTAGCAGGCATGCAGGGAGTATAGCAAGCATGCAGGGAGTGTAGCAGGCATGCAGAAAGTGTAGCAGGCATGCAGGGAGTATAGCAAGCATGCAGGGAGTATAGCAAGCATGCAGGGAGTGTAGCAGGCATGCAGAAAGTGTAGCAGGCATGCAGGGAGTATAGCAAGCATGCAGGGAGTATAGCAAGCATGCAGGGAGTGTAGCAGGCATGCAGGGAGTGTAGCAGGCAGGCAAGAAGTGTAGCAGGCAGGCAGGCAGGAAGTGTAGCAGGCAGGCAGGGAGTGTAGCAAGCATGCAGGGAGTATAGCAAGCATGCAGGGAGTATAGCAAGCATGCAGGGAGTGTAGCAGGCATGCAGGGAGTGTAGCAGGCATGCAGGGAGTGTAGCAGGCAGGCAAGAAGTGTAGCAGGCAGGCAGGAAGTGTAGCAGGCAGGCAGGGAGTGTAGCAGGCATGCAGGAAGTGTATCAGGCATGCAGGGAGTGTAGCAGGTATGCAGGGAGTGTAGCAGGCATGCAGGGAGTGTAACAGACATGCAGGGAGTGTAGCAGGTATACAGGGAGTGTAGCAGGTATACAGGGAGTGTAGCAGGCATGCAGGGAGTGTAACAGGCATGCAGGGAGTGTAGCAGGCATGCAGGTAGTGTAACAGGCATACAGAGTGTAGCAGGCATGCAGAGTGTAGCAGGCATGCAGGGAGTGTAGCAGGCATGCAGGGAGTGTAGCAGGCATGCAGGAAGTGTAGCAGGCATTCCAGAAGCCAGCATTAGTCTTCAATAAAGGTATGAGATACTGATTTGTTAAAAAAATTATGTTTTGGTGAATATTTTCGTCTGGAACGGATTAATTTTATTTACATTAGTTCTTATGGGAAATATTATTTCGGTTTTCGGCCATTTCGGCTTTAGGCTGAGCTTCTGGAACGGATTACAGCCGAGGGTCCACTGCATATGCATTTTTTTAGGCCAAGCTCTATTACTCACTTAATATATGATAGTGTAAACATGTTATTAGGCTTTTATACAGCAATTTTCAGTGTAGCCTGGAACCTGACCTGCTGTATAAGCAGGGCCTGCCTATACCCTTGATTTAACAGACTTCAAAAATACAGAAACACGGCTGGAACAAGTGTAGAAGCCTTCAAGAGGCAACTGGACAAGTATCTTCATCAGGTGCCAGATCAACCAGGCTGTGATGGATATTTGGGACAGCAGGCCTCCAGCAGCAACAGCCTGGTTAACCAGGCAAGCACCAGACGAGCCTGGCCCATGGCCAGGCTCCGAGAGTAGTGAAACTCTCGAAACTCTTCAAAGGTATATCAAAGATTAAGGTATACAGAGCAAAATCTGCTGGGTCCATTGATTCATCAATAGTGAACAAAGTGTGTTGATTATAGAATTGTCTTGTTATCGTTACTATCATGGCAAGATAATCTCATCTTTGTCAACCATGTAATAAAGTTGGTAGAATTACCGACAATATGTAAAGTAAAAGGACACAAGTGCAACTAATGTGACATTTATTGTGGCAACGTTTCGCTCTCCAGGAGCTTTATCAAGCCGTAATGGCTTGATAAAGCTCCTGGAGAGCGAAACGTTGCCACAATAAATGTCACATTAGTTGCACTTGTGTCCTTTTACTTTACATTTTGTCAACCATGGTGACCATTACCAGCCACCCACTCCCCTACTTTGGTACATCAAGGGTTTTCTGCATGTGCCTCTAATTTGTACAATTTGAAGCCAGGGACTAACCCTGGCTTCAAAGCTGTAGTACAATGGGACCAACACTGAAAGGGTTAATAGACAAACTTCATGAAAGCCACTTTTTTATGGTGTAAATATACACTTTATGTTCTGTATCAGATTGCCTTTTCATTTACTTCTGAGTTACAAATTATAGTTACTTTTTAAAATGAATCATATCTCCAACCACTATTGCATCATTACCTCCTTATTTGCTTTCTGTTTCTCATTTTAACATTAAATCTTAATGTAATATCTTTTATGTACTTAATTATCAATTTTCACTAAAATTTGTATCGTACAATACTTTTTTTTTTAACACTGGCCATCTCTCACTGAGGCGGGGTGACAAAAGGAGGAAATGCTTTCGCCATCACTGATACTATCACTGTCTTGCCAGAGGCAAATATGTATCTCCACCCCTCCTTCAGAGTGCAGGCACTGCACTTCTCACCTCCAGGGCTTAAGTCCAGCTAACTGGTTGCCATTAATTCCTTCATAACTGTTACCTTGCTCACATGCCAACAACTTGTCAAGTCATAAAAACCACTGTCCTCCACTCCTATCTAACACACTGACACATACCTGCTGGATGTCCAAGCCCCTCACGTACAAAACCTCATTTACCCCCTCCTGCCAACCTTTCTTAGGATGACCACTACCCCCACCTTTTTCCACTTTGGATTTATACACCTTCCAAATCATCCTATTTTGCTCCATCCTCTCTAAATATCCAAACCATCTCAATAACCCCTCCTCAGCTTTCTGGATGGTACTTTTAGAAACCCTGCACCTCCTCCTAATCTCCAAGCAATGGATCCTCTGCATAATATTCACACCACACACTGTCCTCAGACATGACATCTCCACTGTCTCCAGCCTCCTCCTTGCTGCAACTTTCACAACCCATGCTTTATACCCATATAAGAGTGTTGGTACCATTGCACTCTCATACATGTCCCTTTTTGCCTCCATGGATAACGTTCTTTGTCTCCACAGAGACACAGTATACAGTACATTATTATGTAATTATATTTTAGTGTGTCCTACATTTATATACAAGTCAAAGAAACATAGATACACTAATAGGTTAATTAATTATTTTTTATTCATCTTAGAGGATTTATGATTAATGTATAACACATGCATTATGTTAAATTTTCATGTTGGTTTGTAAACGATATGTATTTTTTAATTTATAATACATTTTTGTTTTTTGTTAAACCTGATAATATTCATGGAGAAAAACACCATTCAGCAAGAGGCAGACTTTTCTTGCAGCAGAAACATTTTTCTTGATTACCTGTCTTTAGAGCTTTATCCTTAATTGTTTCCACTCAACCATTGATAAAGTGTTCTATGTTTTATATATGAAATTAATAGTTATGAGACCACATGTTGGGCAATTTTGCAGTCTCTCCTCCAAATGTCAGTATATTTTTGTTTTGTATGCTCTATTTATGCTAATTAGCTAAAGTTAGGCTAATGTCAATTATAAAACATTATTTTGATTTTCAAATAGAAAGCAGGTATATTACAGGTATCCACCAAGAATACTGAGGGACTGTGAAAGTAAAATCATAAAGTTCACATTTTAGTTTGCCGTTTTACCTAATGTCTTGAGGTGAAGTATAAAACCAGAGTTTGCTTGAGAGGGTGGATGCCATTGTGGCTTGAATTGCATAATGAAAGAAAAGCAGGAATATTGATATACAGTCAGCTGTCTTTTATAGCTCCTCTATATAATGCATTTTTTTATTTTTTTTGTCAGTGTGATTGAGAAAGTAGATCCATAATTAAATGGTGCATGCTGTTCAGTTTTGGATCTACTATTTCCATTGCATTTGTAAACAATTACGCTATACGTACTATAAAGAATTACACTAAATAGAGTGGAACCTCAAATTTCGAACGTATCGCTTATGGAACTCTTCGAAAATCGACCGCTTTTTTCGAACCAACTTTGTCCCCATTATGAAACTCACCCCTTTTTTCGAACCGCCGGGTACCGGACCTGTCTGCCAGCCAGCTCAGTCCACATCCCTGCACAGGCGCCATGAGCCAGTCTGGCTTTGTTGATGCTTGAGTGAACACTAACCTTTCAAACATTTTACAATTAATTCATTGTGTTTAGTGCTTGTGGGACTGTGAAATAAACTACCATGGGCTCAAGGAAACTTGCTAGTGGTACCCCTGTGGTAAAGAAAGTGAGAAACACCATAGATGTGAAGTGAGTGACGAGGATGTGGAAGAGTTGGAGGAGGACCACAGGGAAGAGCTAACCACTGAAGAGCTGGAAGAGCTTCATCTGGAACAGTATCAGACCACAGCTCAGGAACTTGCTTCAGAGGAGGAGGAAGAGGGAGTGGATGAGGTGCCTTCTTCAAAGATTAAGGAGATTTATGCCAACTGGAATGATGTCCAAATGTTTGTGGAGAAGTACCACCCTGAGCAAGCTGAAACAAGCCATCTTTGCAACAAGTTCAGTGACAGAACTTTGTATCATTTTAGGGAAATCTTAAAGAGGCACCAGAAACAGAGGACTGTGGACAGTTATTTTGTGAGACAGGGGTCCAGTGACTCTCAAGCTGGTCCTAGTAGCATTAAAAGACAGAGAAGGGAAGTAATCCCAGAGAGGGCTTTGATACCTAAAGTCCTTATGGAGGGGGATTCCCCTTCCAAACACTAACCCCAACTCCCTCGCTCCTCCTCCCTATCTTCCAGATGCCATCACCAATCTTCAATAAAGGTAAGTAAAAATGTTATTTTATGTTTATTTAAATTTATTAATAATTGTATACTATATTTGTTGTGTGTATGTAAAACTATAATGTAATACTATCTATAAAATGTATTTTTTGGTGAATATTTTTGGGTTTCTGGAACAGATTAATTGTATTCCCATTATTTCTTATGGGAAATATTGCTTCACCTTTCAAACTTTTCGAATTTAGAACTAGCTCCTGGAACGAATTAAATTCGAAATTTGAGGTTCCACTGTAGAAGAGCTAGTAGAGTCTCAGGTTTGGTAACAATAAGTATTATCTACAGCTACTGTAAGGAAATGATGCAGGGCAGTGCCAGAATTTCTATTCTTAGGAGGCTTATGGGTGACAATCTAGTTGGAAAGGGGGCAAGGAGACTTATTTTGAAGCAGCATTATTATTATTTTTATTTGGGGGACCTTGATGGAATTTTTGGGAGTGGGTTAAATGCTTCCACACTTCCCCATAGCACCTCCAACGTGGCATAATTAGAATCATAACTCCTTTTACTATATGATTTATTTAATTTCAGGAACAAAACTTGCCTATCGATATTCATGTTGGCAAATTAGTAGAATGGTTAATTTCCCGTCGGCATGTGAAACGTGAGTGGCCAGAGGATGTACGCATGATCCGTGAGAAAATCAACAATGCAATCCAGGACATGCCCGAGCATCCAGAGATAACACGTCTTCTCTCTGGAACATGTTAGTTGCTTTGCTTGCGAAGTATTTTACATATATTATTACCATTATTAAGGACATTAGATTTCTTGATTAAAATTATTTTGTGTTACATCTAATTAATTTGATTATACACATGATAAGCAATTTAATAAAAGTTCAAGCACTGCAATAATTAAAAAACTTGACAATGTTTATTCTGCATTTGAACATATTATAATAATAATGATAATTTTATTTCTTGAAGCCATACAAGACACAAAAGAAAGCCACTAATTATGCAGTGCAATTTGGGCAACTAATCATAAGGCTTACATATTCTACCTTTTTAAAAACTAAACATAGCATATTGTGTAAAACTTATTGTGCAGTTAACTACAATCATAAACACAATAAGAAAAGTTGCAAATAACAAATGGTCAATTACAAAAGAATTACATATTATTTAGATTTTTTTCAGTGATCTTCAATTTTATGGAGTGATGGAATAGAGGTAGTGACAACATAGCAAGTTTAGCATAGTGAATGGTATTTGTTGCTTAAATTGCGATACAAATATTATGTGTAAACCAAATTTTTACATTGAAGTATACAAGTGAACAATATTTAGATAAAGGTAGGGAAGTTTTCATTGCAATTATGGATTTAGAAAATGCATATGATAGGGTGGATAGGGATATAATGTGCAGAAATAAAACCGTAATTGTTCCAAATTTAAATTATTAATACCAACAACACTGTTGTCACTGTGTCTTCTCAGTTGTGTTTACTTGAGCATGCTGTCCCATGTCCTCCCCCCATCTCCCCATACCCTAGTCTCAGAGTGGTGGTTCACAAGAATGTTTTAAATTGGCTAATTGGCAATTTTTCCTCTTTCACAGATATCAATTATTTCCACTGCTTGAAGATAGTTGAGATTTTAAGAGAAACAGAAAAAGATACCAAGAATATCTTAGGATGGTATGGTTCTCAACGTATGAAGGTAAGATGTATGTAGGATGATGTGGTTCTTGTCATGGTAAGATGTGTGAATGATGATGTGGTTCTTAACTTGTGAAGGTAAGATGTGTGAAGGATAATGTGGTTCTTAACCCTTAAACTGTCCAAACGTAGATCTACGTTTGCACACACAGCGCTCCGACCTTAATTTTCTCCTAAGAAACAATGTAAAAAAATGTAGATCTACGTTCGGAGCGCTATGCGAGCAAACGTAGATCTACGTTTGGACAGTTTAAGGGTTAACTTTTGAAGGTAAGGTGTGTGAAGGATGATGTGGTTCTTAACTTGTGAAGGTAAGGTGTGTGAAGGATGATGTGGTTAATGAAAATAGTTGTAAATTCTGGCTACACACAGCTACATGTGTTTATATACAGAAGTGGAGAAACATTCCTTAATTGTAATTGAAAAATATGTTTATATGCTTGAGGACTAAGAAGGCACCTGATATCTGCGCAGACAAGTGAAAACAGTTTCCATCTTATGCCTTACTGGAGGTTTCTCACTTATAAATAAAATGGGTTATTAATTCTTCAACTCAAAAACAAGTTTATATAAAAAAACAATATTACAAAGGGTAGTTATGTGAAGTTTCACACACACGTTCGCATTGCAGAGTCTAGAGGTTGCAAAATTTAATTAGTTCCTTAGTGCTCCACTTTTAAATGAGAGATTGTGTAATATGGGATGGTTGTAAGTCTAATCTCTTTTGTATGATAAACACTATACAATACAGCACTAATTAGTACATGGTAAAAAATTAAATTATTGTCTTTGCAGGACTGGCAGGAAGTGATTCGATTATATGAGAAAGATAGTGTGTACCTTGCAGAGGCAGCTCAGCTACTGGTGAGAAATGTCAACTATGAAGTTCCAAGTATCAAGCGGCAGATTTCTAAAGGAATACAAATACAGCAGGTGTGTCAGTATGTTCTTGTGTCCAGTATCTTGATCTTCAGTCTATATTCTCTTTGTGATGTGTCTTGTTTTCTGTTCTCTTTGATATCTTGACTTTTCATTCTCACTGTGATGTGACTTCTATTCTCCCTGTGATGTGTCTTTGTTCTCTCTGTTATGTGTCCTGACTTCTGTTCTCTCTATGATGTATCTTCTGTACTCTCTGTGATGTGTCCTGACTTTTGTTCTCTCTGTGATGTGTCCTGACTTATGTTCTCTTTTTGTGATGTTTCTGGACTTCTGTTCTCCCTTATGGGATGTTTTGACTTGTGCTCTTCACAAAAAATATTCCTATCCTGGACCATTGTTAAGTCACAACTGAGCAAGAAAAAGTAGAGTAAGCCAGAAAACATGTTGGGAAGAGGGAGAGAAAAGATTGCAGAGGTGCAGGGGCTGCACCACCAATACAGTAAACCCTTGATACATCAGACCTTGTTAAAACAGACTTTTAAAATTATAGGCAAAATCCACTGGTTAAATTGTACTTTTAGATAGGTGGGAGACGACCGACTTGTTGAAAAAAAAAAAAAAAAAATTGTAAATTGTGTGTACAGTACTATATTAGGTAGATATTAAAATTGGTCATTGACTTTATGATTTTCTTGAGGCTTAATTATTTTTCTCAGTTAATTTTCTACTAGATGTATCTGTATTTTGTTTTGTTTTTTATGTATGTATGGCAAGTTAATAGTAATTGCCACTATTTGCTCCTGCATACTGGATGTGTTCCCTGGGTGGGGCACTTCCTAATACTGTTACACTCACCACTGCTTTCCATTACATACCCCATCTTCTTACCCCTTCTGCCATACACGTGTGTACAAGTGTTGGTACCCTGTACTCTTGCACATTTCCAATTTTCCCTCCAAATATCAACATCTTTTTCTCCTGCAGATGTTGCAACACTCCAGCTGCCATATTTTCTCTTTGTCTATATGATTTATCTATTCTTTCATAGACCTATTTTCTGCGATGTCCACTCCTGATAATCTAAATACATTCATTTCCTCCATATTTTCTCCCAGTTTTTCAGTCTATAGTTTTGTTACTTTCATCACCTTGCTCTTTTCTTAGTACACTTTGTTTCCTTTTACTTACTCTCCTGAATGTCTCCACCAACCATTGCAGCTTTTCTTCAGAATCTCTTGAAAGAATTGTTATTAATATGTGATATTTTAGTGACCTATGTTACCTGTAATAAGATTATGTTAATCTTCACTAATCAAAGTTTTCACAAACATGTACACATTATATCTTTCAGGATTGTGATCGCAAGGTAGAAGATTGCATTCGGGGCATTGCTGATTCAAAGAAAAAATACCTGCAGATGTGCAAGCAGATTGGTATTGCTGGTGATAAGGTTAGAATATAGGCCATGTTTTTTTTTTTCAGTTTTTTGTTTCTTAACCCTTTGAGGGTCAGTCCTGTAGTTCTGTGCCATGAGCTCAGCTCACGCAGATAAGCTGAGTGGTAAATTTAGTCCAAGATATGAGAGCATGGGTCTATGCAGTAAGTGTGCACCATATAAAAAAATATTCCTGCAGCAAGTAGTGCATAATGGGGAAAAACTGAGAATTTGCCATGTATTTTTGTATTTTTTTATTGTTGTATTCTTGGTTTCTTGGTATCATATGATAGAACGGAAGACAACTACAGAAATAGATTTTAATTGATTTCAGGACTGAAAGTAACTTCAAATTGACCTCAGAGTAGCAGAAATGTTTGAATTTTGCTAATTATTCCAGAGTACACAAATTGCGTCATTCATCCAGTTTATGTCCACAAATGCGCTGACATTATTTATACAACTTTTACAATAATGAAGTAGTCTGCATAATAGTAAATCTTTTAGTTTTTGTGAATAAAAATTCAGAATGGAAAGCAAGCGTAATATAAGTCTGAGAATGTGACTGATGAACGGAGGAAATGTTTTTTAGTGTCAGGAATGTCTACATTGTTTATTTTGGACTTTATCTTGAAATTGGCAGTTTTTGAATTTTATGTGAAATTGGCCATATTACCTATTTCTGATCACTTTATTGGCTAGTTGAATTAGATAAATGGGCAGTTTCTTGTATTCAATCAGTAGAATAGAAAGAATACTAGTGAAATAGCTATGAGTTTGGTCAACTGGAACACTGAATTGGCCAAAAATAGGGCTCAAAATAGGCAAAATCGCCTTTGCGTAAATATCGCCAAGACTGCTAACTTTGCGAGAGCATACTTCTGTAAGTTTTCTATCAAATTTTGTACAGTGGACCCCCGGTTAACGATATTTTTTCACTCCAGAAGTATGTTCAGGTGCCAGTACTGACTGAATTTGTTCCCATAAGAAATATTGTGAAGTAGATTAGTCCATTTCAGACCCCCAAACATACACGTACAAATGCACTTACATAAATACACTTACATAATTAGTCGCATTCGGAGGTAATCGTTATGCGGGGGTCCACTGTACTTTTGGTTTCATTACCTTCAGAAAAGAACTATCATTTTGTAAGTTTTTTTTTTTTTTAAATTCTCCTACCCTGAGAGCAAGTTTTAAATCAGAGGTTCTGACTCTGAAAGGGTTAAATATATAGTTAGTCTTAAACCATCATTTTTTTATGTGTGTGTTTGTGTGTCCGGAATTTGCAAGCCTAAACAAAGCTTTTTAACTATTGAAGTTTGCCCCATTTTGTAATTTGATTTTATTCTGTATTTTTGTATCTTTTGTCCTATACACAGTATAGAGAGCATAGAATAGTTCTCTCATTTTACTCATGGTTAACCCCACTATATATTCTGTGAACTGGAGTAAACAGCTTTAATGGTAGATCAGGTTGGTGTGGTGGTGAGAGATACCTTTTGGGCAAGATGGATGCATCTGCACTGTCTGTTAACCAGATAGTGAAGATTCATAATGTGTCTGTGGCAGTGACTATGATACAGTAGAACAATTGTGCCATGTGATGGGTAAATGAATCCATTATCTGAGTAGTTTCCAAAAGTCATGTATAAACACTCAGTCCAAATAAAATGGCTAAAGTGTGGATATAACTTGCTAGATGAATTAAAAGTTGCTTTAAAGTATTAAATGTGGCTTATTTTTTATATAAGATCATAAGAATAGATGAACACTGCAACAGACCTATTGGCCCATACTAGGCACGTTCTTCTCAAAACTAACCACTTCCATCCTCACATTTTTCCAACCTATTCCCAAAACTCCCCAAGAAATTGGCTTTAATACCTCAGCTCTTAATCATACCCAGCCCTTCTAACTCACATGTTTATCTAATCTATTTTTATAGCTCCCTAATATGGAGGAATGGCAATTCATTTCTATAAAGTGAGAGGAATTTAAGTTAATTGGCAAGGAAAATAAATATTTACGCAAGTAGCACAAGATATAATCTGTACTGTTTGGATAGGAATTTTCATATTGCAATGTACATATGACCTGCACATAGGAGAGAGGCGATTACAGTGCTGTTTTGGTCCAACTTGGATTGAAATGAGTGTGACTTTGTAAATGGTCCAAGTCAGACCGAAACATCATCATAAGCTCCTCTCTCCTATATGTGGGTTATTTGTGTATTGTTCCAGTCACAGTATTGTGTCTTTTTGTTATTCATATTGCAATTCTTTAAACAGCAGAAATGAGCAGATATGTTTTAGGCAAGGGGATAAAAAGAAAGTTCAGAGTTGCACTTAATCTGTTCATATCTTATCAGGTAAAGCATGAGCTGGTTGATCTGCTGAAAACACTTCCTGAGGAATTTGCTGTAATTGCTGAGAGCAGCAAGAGCCTTGCTCCTGCACGCCAGCTGTATTCAGACTTCCTCTCATTCACTATAAAGGAAACTCAGCCAGAATGTTTGCCACTGCTCAAATTTGTTATGGGTAGGTGTTTTGTCTGTGTGTAGTTAGTGAAGCCAAACTATGCTTGTGGTATCCCAGACTAATGAACACCAGTGTTACGATGATCCACAGTGCATAATATATATTTTTTTTTATTAACACGTCGGCCGTTTCCAACCAAGGTAGGGTGGTCTTGCCAGAGGTATGCTTACACTACAGTTATAAAACTGCAACATTAACTCCCCTCCTTCAGATTGCCGGCACTGTACTTCCTATCTCTAGGAATCAAGTCCAGCCTACCAGTTTCCCTGAATCCCTTCATAAATGTTACCTTGCTTACACTCCAATAGCATAAGTCCTAAAAACCATTTGTCTCCATTTGCTCCTAAGATGTTATTCCTCCTTGCCCTATACACAAAATCACAGCTTCCCTATCTTCAACATTTCACAATTCCTCAAAATAGTCCCTCCATCTTCCCGATAACTCGAACTCTCCATTTAACCCTTTGACTGTCGGTGTCGTATATATACGTCATTTGAGCCAGTGTTTTTGACGTATTATATGCCAAAATTCTAGCGGCTTCAAATCAAGCGGGAGAAAGCTGGCAGCATGCAGTGCATAATGAAAATAAAAAACTGACCTTGTTTTTGGATTAAAATGCCGATTTTGATGTGTATTTTCGTGTAGTATTTATGGTTGTATTCTCGTTTTCTTGGTCTCAGTTGATAGAATGGAAGATATATTACAGATATAGAGATGATTCTGATTGGTTTCACGATGAAGAGGACCTTGGAATTGAGCTCAGAGTAGTGGAAATGTTCGATTTTTTCTGATGTTCAATACATGTCCAACTGGCTGGTCTAATACGCAGTTACAAATGGGTTGACATTATTTATACAACTATTAGAATAATGCAATAGTCTGCATAACAGTAAATCTTCTATTTTTTGTGTGAATAAAAATTCAAAATAGAAAGTAAGAGTAATATAAGAGGGGCCTGGAAACATGACTAATGAACAGAGAAAATGTTATTTTAGTGCCAGGAATGCCTGCATTATTTATTCTGGACCCTATTTTGAAATTGGCATCTTGTTTAATTTGTGTGAAATTGGCCAAATTGCCAATTTCTGACCACTTGTTGGGTAGTTGAAATCAGTAAATGGGCGGTTTCTTGTACTCAATTGATAGAACAAATGGGGTTCTAAAGAAATAGCTATGAGTTTGGTTGACTGGAACAATGGAATTGGCCGAAAATAGGGCTCAAAGTGGGTGAAATTGCCGATGCGTATATATCGCTGAGATCGCTAACTTCACGTAGTGTACATAATTCCATAAGTTTTACATAAGATTTTGTACTTTTGGTGTCATTACCACCTGGAAAAGATTCTCATCATTTCATAAGAAAAAATAATTTTGTTTTTTTCGAATATTTCGCAACACAGAGACACTTCAGGATTTGGGGTCTCGACAGTCAAAGGGATAATAACTCTCCTCTCCTGTTTTTAACTAACAAATCCATTTGTTCCCTAGGCTTTCTCAACTTATTTATCTCACTCCAAAACATATTCTTATTTTCAACAAAATTTGTTGATAACATCTCACGCACTCTCTCATTTGCTCTCTTTTTACATTGCTTCACCACTCTCTTAATATTGTTAAATTACTTATTCTGTGTATGCCGATGAAGTTACAGTGACATATAATTTTTTTTTTGCTGAATATTAAAATGGTATACAGTACCGACAGGTTGGTAAGCATGATGAATGTGCAACAGCTAAGTATCTTTATTCCAGAACATTTTGCTTACACAGTAGGTTTCTTCATTCGAGTACAGAAAAGATGGCAGAAGCAGTAGAATCTTTTTACTATCATTTTACATATATAGAATAATAGATTCAGTTGAAACATTGACAACACAGCTCATGGATTTTGAACTTTTACCTCTTCTTAAAGCTATGTTTGCTACCTGCCTCCACTACCTCACTTTCCAGACTATTCTACTTCCTGACAACTCTGTGACTGAAGAGATACTTCCTGACATCCCTGTGACTCATCTGATTGTTCAACTTAGAATTGTGACCCCTTGTTGCTGTGTCCCATCTCTGGAACATCCTGTCTCTGTCCATCTTGTTGATTTCTCTCAATATTTTATATGTTGTTATCATATCCCCCCCTATCTCTCCTGTCCTCCAGTGTCGCCAGGTCGAGTTCCCTTAACCTTTCCTCATAGGACATGCCCCTTAACTCCGGAACTAGTCTCGTTCCTGACATGCTTGGCCAGGTGTGGGTTCCAAACTGGAGCTCCATACTCCCATATGGGCTTAATGTATACAGTGTGCAGGGTCTGGAATGACTCCTTATTGAGATGCCAGAATGCTGTTCTTAGGTTTGCTAGTCTTCCATATATGTGTGTGTGTGTGTGTGTGTGTGTGTGTGTGTGTGTGTGTGTGTGTGTGTGTGTGTGTTAGATAGGATTGAGTGGAGGCAAGTGGTTTTTATGACTTGATGTGCTGTTGGAGTGTGAGCAAGGTAACATTTATGAAGGGATTCAGGGAAACCAGTTAGCCAGACCTGAGTCCAGGAGGCGGACAGTACGGTGCCTTCACTCTAAAGGAGGGGTGGAGATATGTTGCAGTTTTGAACTACCATATTGGCACGCCTCTGGCAAGACAGTGGACCGAGTGTTGGTGAAAATGTTTCTTCTTTTTGGGTCACCCTACCTCATTGGGATACAACCAGTATGTTAAAAAAAAATAATGATAATCAGGACTGCATCACTTGAACAGATAAATCCTACATGGATAGAAAATTATACAGCACGTAGAAAGGCTCTCTAAATTTTCGAATCAATCATAAACTCCTTTCAGCAGATCATGCTGAAGATGATTTCTGATTGATACCATGGTATACAAATCCCTTTTTTTTTTTCTCTCTATTTCATTTTCTGTCCAGGTGGTATTTACCTGTTCATTGATTGATAAGTGTTTCTGACACAGTACTGTAATTTCTGCTAACCTATTGTTATTTTCCAGAGCATGGCAATGTGACAACCTATGAGTGGTTGTATGGTGAAGCTCCTTGTAGCATAGAGGAACCACATCTGGAGTTTTCTCTTGATGATGAGACAGATAAAACAGAAAGTGATCAAGTAAGTGCTGGAATTGTTCAAACAAGAATCAGACCAAAAAATATAGTGCCAGTCTTTATATCAGAGCAAAACTAAATTAGCAGTTTTGTCATCTATTTTCTCTACCAGTTTGTTGTACCTGTGGTCATGTAGGCATTTAAAGACAAAAAAAATTAAGAAAATTCTCTAGTTTATAAGGAAAATAGTAGACAATTTACCAGATATTATTAGCTGCAAGATGACTCAGGCAAAAATCCAGAGGAAGTATATTTCCATCAGATAATCAGAGTTTTGCATAACCCCAGTTATAAGACAAGTGTATATTTTCAAGCCTCACAGATGGAAGTAGTAAATACTTGCATCTATAGTCATTACATTAATCAGTAGTCAGTACATGAATTAGTAGTCAGTACATGCATCAGTAGTCATTACATGCATCAATAGTAAGTACTTACATAAGTAGTCATTACATGCATCAGTAGTAAGTACATGCATCAGTAGTCAGTACATACATCAGTAGTAAGTACAGTGGACCCCTGCTTAACGATCACCTCCCAATGCGACCAATTATGTAAGTGTATTTATGTAAGTGCGTTTGTATGTGTATGTTTGGGGGTCTGAAATGGACTAATCTACTTCACAATATTCCTTATGGGAAAAAATTCGGTCAGTACTGGCACCTGAACATACTTCTGGAATGAAAAAATATCATTAACTGGGGGTCCACTGTACATGCATCAGTAGTCAATACATATATTATTATCAGTACATGCATCAGTGGTCAATACATACATCAGTAGTCAGTACATGCATCAGTAGTCAATACATACATCAGTAGTCAGTACATGCATCAGTAGTCAGTACATACATCAGTAGCCACTACATACATTAGTATCAGTACATGCATCAGTGGTCAATACATACATCAGTGGTCAATACATGCATCAGTAGTCACATACATCAGTAGTCAGTACATACATCAGTAGTCACTACATACATTAGTATCAGTACATGCATCAGTGGTCAATACATGCATCAGTAGTCAATACATACATCAGTAGTCAGTACATGCATCAGTAGTCAGTACATACATCAGTAGTCACTACATACATTAGTATCAGTACATGCATCAGTGGTCAATACATGCATCAGTAGTCAATACATACATAAGTAGTCAGTACATGCATCAGTAGTCAATACATACATCAGTAGTCAGTACATGCATCAGTAGTCAGTACATGCAAGAGTAGTCAGTACATGCATCAGTAGTCAGTACATACATCAGTAGTCACTACATACATTAGTATCAGTACATGCATCAGTAGTCAGTACATGCATCAGTAGTCAATACATACATCAGTAGTCACTACATACATTAGTATCAGTACATGCATCAGTAGTCAGTACATACATCAGTAGTCACTACATACATTAGTATCAGTACATGCATCAGTAGTCAGTACATGCAAGAGTAGTCAGTACATGCATCAGTAGTCAGTACATGCATCAGTAGTCAGTACATGCATCAGTAGTCAGTACATGCATCAGTAGTCAGTACATGCATCAGTAGTCAGTACATGCATCAGTAGTCAGTACATGCATCAGTAGTCAATACATACATCAGTAGTCAGTACATGCATCAGTAGTCAGTACATGCATCAGTAGTCAGTACATACATCAGTAGTCAGTACATGCATCAGTAGTCAGTACATGCATCAGTAGTCAATACATACATTAGTATCAGTACATACATCAGTAGTCAGTACATGCATCAGTAGTCAGTACATGCATCAGTAGTCAGTACATGCATCAGTAGTCAATACATACATCAGTAGTCAGTACATGCATCAGTAGTCAGTACATGCATCAGTAGTCAGTACATACATCAGTAGTCAGTACATGCATCAGTAGTCAATACATACATTAGTATCAGTACATACATCAGTAGTCAATACATACATTAGTATCAGTACATGCATCAGTAGTCAATACATACATCAGTAGTCAGTACATGCATCAGTAGTCAGTACATGCATCAGTAGTCAGTACATACATCAGTAGTCAGTACATACATCAGTAGTCAGTACATACATCAGTAGTCAGTACATGCATCAGTAGTCAATACATACATCAGTAGTCAGTACATGCATCAGTAGTCAGTACATGCATCAGTAGTCAGTACATGCATCAGTAGTCAGTACATACATCAGTAGTCAGTACATGCATCAGTAGTCAATACATACATTAGTATCAGTACATGCATCAGTAGTCAGTACATGCATCAGTAGTCAGTACATGCATCAGTAGTCAGTACATGCATCAGTAGTCAATACATACATCAGTAGTCAGTACATACATCAGTAGTCAGTACATGCATCAGTAGTCAGTACATACATCAGTAGTCAGTACATACATCAGTAGTCAGTACATACATCAGTAGTCAGTACATGCATCAGTAGTCAATACATACATCAGTAGTCAGTACATGCATCAGTAGTCAGTACATGCATCGGTAGTCAGTACATGCATCAGTAGTCAGTACATACATCAGTAGTCAGTACATGCATCAGTAGTCAATACATACATTAGTATCAGTACATGCATCAGTAGTCAGTACATGCATCAGTAGTCAGTACATGCATCAGTAGTCAATACATACATTAGTATCAGTACATGCATCAGTAGTCAGTACATGCATCAGTAGTCAGTACATGCATCAGTAGTCAATACATACATCAGTAGTCAGTACATGCATCAGTAGTCAGTACATGCATCAGTAGTCAGTACATGCATCAGTAGTCAGTACATGCATCAGTAGTCAGTACATGCATCAGTAGTCAGTACATATATCAGTAGTCAGTACATACATCAGTAGTCAGTACATGCATCAGTAGTCAGTACATGCATCAGTAGTCAATACATACATCAGTAGTCAATACATACATCAGTAGTCAGTACATGCATCAGTAGTCAGTACATGCATCAGTAGTCAGTACATGCATCAGTTGTCAATACATACATCAGTAGTCAGTACATGCATCAGTAGTCAGTACATGCATCAGTAGTCAATACATACATTAGTATCAGTACATGCATCAGTAGTCAGTACATGCATCAGTAGTCAGTACATGCATCAGTAGTCAGTACATACATTAGTATCAGTACATGCATCAGTAGTCAGTACATGCATCAGTACATGCATCAGTAGTCAGTACATACATTAGTATCAGTACATGCATCAGTAGTCAGTACATGCATCAGTAGTCAGTACATGCATCAGTAGTCAGTACATACATTAGTATCAGTACATGCATCAGTAGTCAGTACATGCATCAGTAGTCAGTACATGCATCAGTAGTCAGTACATACATTAGTATCAGTACATGCATCAGTAGTCAGTACATGCATCAGTAGTCAGTACATGCATCAGTAGTCAGTACATGCATCAGTAGTCAGTACATGCATCAGTAGTCGGTACATGCATCAGTAGTCAGTACATGCATCAGTAGTCAGTACATACATCAGTAGTCAGTACATGCATCAGTAGTCAGTACATGCATCAGTAGTCAGTACATACATCAGTAGTCAGTACATGCATCAGTAGTCAGTACATGCATCAGTAGTCAGTACATGCATCAGTAGTCAGTACATGCATCAGTAGTCAGTACATGCATCAGTAGTCAGTACATGCATCAGTAGTCAGTACATGCATCAGTAGTCAGTACATACATCAGTAGTCAGTACATGCATCAGTAGTCAGTACATGCATCAGTAGTCAGTACATGCATCAGTAGTCAGTACATACATTAGTATCAGTACATACATCAGTAGTCAGTACATGCATCAGTAGTCAGTACATGCATCAGTAGTCAGTACATGCATCAGTGGTCAGTACATACATCAGTAGTCAGTACATGCATCAGTAGTCAATACATACATTAGTATCAGTACATGCATCAGTAGTCAGTACATGCATCAGTAGTCAGTACATGCATCAGTAGTCAGTACATGCATCAGTAGTCAGTACATGCATCAGTAGTCAATACATACATTAGTATCAGTACATGCATCAGTAGTCAGTACATGCATCAGTAGTCAGTACATGCATCAGTAGTCAGTACATGCATCAGTAGTCAGTACATACATCAGTAGTCAGTACATGCATCAGTAGTCAGTACATGCATCAGTGGTCAGTACATACATCAGTAGTCAGTACATGCATCAGTAGTCAATACATACATTAGTATCAGTACATGCATCAGTAGTCAATACATGCATCAGTAGTCAGTACATGCATCAGTAGTCAGTACATGCATCAGTAGTCAGTACATGCATCAGTAGTCAATACATACATTAGTATCAGTACATGCATCAGTAGTCAGTACATACATCAGTAGTCAGTATATACATCAGTAATCAGTACATACATCAGTAGTCAATATATACATCAGTAGTCAGTACATGCATCAGTAGTCAGTACATACATCAGTAGTCAGTATATACATCAGTAGTCAGTACATGCATCAGTAGTCAGTATATACATCAGTAGTCAGTACATGCATCAGTAGTCAGTACATACATCAGTAGTCAGTATATACATCAGTAGTCAGTACATGCATCAGTAGTCAGTACATACATCAGTAGTCAGTACATACATCAGTAGTCAGTACATGCATCAGTAGTCAGTACATACATCAGTAGTCAGTACATGCATCAGTGGTCAGTACATATATCAGTAGTCAGTATATACATCAGTAGTCAGTACATGCATCAGTAGTCAATACATGCAGTTTTCTCATATGAGGGAACAGATGATAATTTCATTCATTTATATATTATTTATCTCAGTGGAGTTAACAGATCTGTAATATGGGATAAATTAGCTGTTTCCTACATTGTAGTCATTTATTACAATGTTTTCATGTTCTCTGAATTGTCAGAACTGTAGTGTGAGGCTACTGGAGATAATGTTTATAAAGAAATGGAGTGGGACTACACCTAGAGTTACATGTTTTCTGCTTTCCTCCATTTGCATATTCAAGGTTAAGAGAGCAAACTAAATACTATTCAATTTCAGATTTAAATTCAATTTTTTATTTCTTTTATGCAGTATACAGATAATGTAGTCTACATGTAATAAAATATTGTTAAGCACAAAAGAAAGCCACTAATATGCAGTGCATTTTGGGCAAACTAATGCTTTAAGACTACTTATGAACTAGACTTAGATTATTAAGTAGAATTTCTTAAGCAGTTACCTACAGTAGGGCCTCAGTTTTTGACATTTCATTAATACAGCCATTTCAAATTATACCCAAAAGTTCGTTTATACAGCTCCTGATTCACTCTCATGGCCTGATCTCCCGGCTGGGTGTCTGCTTGTCATTTTTTCTCTCAGTTCGTTTACATCCTCTGTGAGCTCCACATCTCTCTCGATTCCATCTGGAAACTTTCCAAAGTTTCAAGTGTTTTAAAGTTGTTACATATTTTATATATACTTTTTTGTGTTTCAATGGCATCTAAGGGTAGTTGTGGTAAAAAGAGGAGTCATAAGGCTGTTACTTTAAGTGCAAACTTAGAAATGATTACACTCAGTGAGTAAGGTATGTCTGTGGCTGACATAGGACTGAGATAGTACTGATAATTGTACTTATATGCACCTGTACCTAAATAAACTTATACACTGTGCTGGCGTGCAGGTACATTAAAATCACTATTTGGCATCGTCACTTTGATTTTTTTTTTTATCATAGGTAATTTACACATATGTTACTATGTCCTAGGACTAGGTAGTAGGTTGGTAGACAGCAACCACCCAGGAAGGTACTACCGTCCTGCCAAGTGAGTGTTAAATGAAAGCCTGTATTTGTTTTACATGATGGTAGGATTGCTGGTGTCTTTTTTCTGTCTCACAAACATGCAAGATTTCAGGTATGTCTTCCTACTTCTTCTTACACTTAGGTCACACTACACATACATGTACAAGCTTATATATACACACCCCTCTGGGTTTTCTTTTATTTTCTTGCTAGTTCTTGTTCTTGTTTATTTCCTCTTATCTTCATGGGGAAGTGGAACAGAATTCTTCCTCCATGAGCCATGCGTGTCGTATGAGGCGACCAAAATGCCAGGAGGAAAAGGCTAATAACCCTGTATACATTACTAAAATTAAAAAGAGAAACTTTTTTTCTTTTTGGGCCACCCTGCTTCAGTGAGATACAGCTAGTTTGTTGAAAGAAGTTATACACACCCCTCTGGGTTTCTTCTATTTTCTTCCTAGTTCTTGTTTATTTCCTCTTATCTCCATGGGGAAGTGGAACAGAATTCTTTCTGCATAAGCCATGCGTGTTGTAAGAGGTGACTAAAATGCCAGGAGCGAAGGGCTAGTAACCCCTTCTTCCATATACATTACTAAAAAGAGAAACTTTCATTTTTCTTTTTAGGTCACCCTACCTCAGTGGGATATGGCCAGTTTGATGAACAAAAATAAATACAAGTGACTGGACTTGATGTATAAGTTTATTTGGTATCCTTTTTAATTACTGGCCTTTTTTTGTTGTTAGATGCACAATCATTTTGTAAAAACTCTTAAAGGTATATGTATAGTCTTATTGAATGTTCAATGTTTCAGATTGATTTTGGTGATGGAGGAACCATTGACTTTGGGGAGGCTTCTGGTGAAATTGATTGGGGAAATCTTACTGAGGTGAATACACAAACAGTTAACTGGGATGTTGGTGAGGTAAGTTTGTTTATAAATTGAATTATTTTTACCCATGTGATATAGAATTAATGTATTTTGCCTAGCTTTTGCATAAGAAGTAAAGGATATTTCATGGTAGAAGTTTTGAAAACCACTTAAATATTTTTTAATAGAAATATAAATTTTATTTTATGAAGATTTAAAATACATATATACGTATTTTAAAAGGTAAAAAAGTAATTGTTGAGATGGATTGGCTATGTAGAAAGACTTTATTAAGATATGGATGTTGTTAACTGCATGTGAGAGAGGCATTGAGATACTTGCATTTGGACTTTCAGGAGGTATACTGTGTGGACTTAAGTATACATCAAACTTGTGTATAGGTCAATTCTGGCTTTTGTTGAGGAAAGTTCATCATTTTCCTTTATCTAATATGTAAGTTGACCAAAGGTTTTGAGAGACAATACAACAACATTTGAGAATTTAAATTTGTGCAGTACTTGGCATTATCGTGAATGTGATTTTCCCATTTTTTCTGGAATTTACTTTTGATGTTCCCAAGCATGAATGATGTAGAAAGTGTCACCCTCTAGTGCTGATATCTAACCCTGTTTGTATTTCTATTGGCTTTGCATGATTTATATGAGATGACCTTAGCATCCTAAAATAGTAGAATTCTGACAGAAAATGGAAAAATCCTGTCCCTGATTATCCTGGAATACCGTGCATTAATGAGCTCAGAATGGATATTTGTGAATGTGAATTACATGCAAGTACAGTACATCCAGTATCTGTACATAATGTGTTACTTATTCAGATAATGTTATGATAATGCAGTTCACGAAATAGATTGAGATGAGCTGCCTTTGTTATGGAAAGCGATGAGCAGTGTATTTTCTGAATTTTAATGCACTGAATACAAATATTTAAATTATACAATCAACCCTTTTTCATTTTGATTGCTGTATAGCCCTTGTGGTTTAGCGCTTCATTTTGATTATAATAATAATTCATTTTTATTTTAGAATTAGTGTACACAGATTAATGTCTGTCTCCCTTTGCATCATTATTTAAAAAATATAAGTTCAGCAATCTCGGTAGTAGGTTGGTAAACAGCAACCTCCCAGGGAGATATGTACTACTGTCCTGCCAAGTGAGTGTAAATTGGAAGCCTTTACTTGTTTTTACATGATGGTAGGATTGCTGGTGTCTTTTCTCTGTCTCATAAACATGCAAAATTTCAGGTACGTCTTGCTACTTCTACTTACACTTAGGTCACACTACACATACATGTACAAGCATATATATGCACACACCTCTGGGTTTTCATCTATTTTCCTACTAGTTCTTGTTTATTTCTTCTTATCTTCATGGGGAAGTGAAACAATTCTTCCTCCATAAGCCATGCGTGTCGTAAGAGGCGACTAAGATGCCGGGAACACGGGGCTAGTAACCCCTTCTCCTGTATACATTATTAAAGTTAAAAAGAGGAACTTTCTTTTTTCTTTTTGGGCCACCCTGCTTTGGTGGAATACAGCCAGTTTGCTCAAAGAAGAAGTATATATACATAAAAACATAGGAAGTGCTTCATGGCAAGAAATGAGAATAAGTGCAAATATGAATGTTACAAGTTAAGTCATTTTTGTTTTGACATGCTTCCTGTAATTATCTATTTTTTTTTTCAATGAACTGGCCGTATTTCACCAAGGCAGTGTGACCTAAAAAGAAAAACTAATGTTTTTCTTTTAAAATTTAGTAATTTATACAGGAGAAGGGGTTATTATCCCCTTGCTCCCAGCATTTCAGTCACCTCTTATAGAGGAAGAATTCTTTTCTACTTCCCCATTGAGATAAGAGGAAATAAAGAAAGAAAGAACTATTAAGAAAATAGAAAAAAATCTGAATGGGTATGTACATATAAACATGTACATGCATGTAAAGTAAAAGGACACAAGTGCTTGATAAAGCTCCTGGAGAGCAAAACGTTGCCACAATAAAATGTCACATTAGTTGCACTTGTGTCCTTTTACTGTACATATTGTCGGTAATTCTACCAACTTTATTACAATGTACATGCATGTGTAGTGTGACCTAAGTGTAAGTAGAAGTAGCAAGATATACCTGTTATCTCACATGCTTATGAGACAGAAAAAAAGATACCAGCAATCCTACCATCAATGAAACTTCTACATGTTTCCATCTCACTCACTTGGCAGGACAGTAGTACCTCCCTGGGCAGTTGCTGTCTACCAACCTGCTACCTATGATGTTGTGATTTTTATCTCTTCCTAATGAAAAAGTTATTGCATTCTTTCTATGCAACTTTTTACCCTCAGCTCCAGCACCAGTCTTCATGCACTGCTGGTACTATTATTATTATAATAATCAAGAGGGAAGCACTAAACCTGTAGGATTATACAGCCCCTGTAGGGGGGGGGGATGTGAAATGCATTCAGGCTTAATTCAGGGAACTGGAGCACATATACAATTCCCTAGATCAATAGCCCCTCACCAGTATCAAGGAACCTTCCTTGAGGGGGCACTGCTAATAGTGTAAAAGAATTTAGTCATCTTGACTTACTCTTTGTTTAGGTGTAGCCTTCACTTCATTGTCATGTTCTGCATCAGATAAACTCACCGCTTGGCTTCATCTTCTTTTAGCATATTGGTTCAGTTAATGTTTGAAGCTCACCAAATCTCCTACCTATATTGTTGTTAGAAATTTTTAATATTCCTATAAATACCATTTTATATTTTCAGATTGATAATATCACAACAGCAGATATTGTAGTTGAAGACTCAGGTGTTGCAGGTGGTGTTGCAAAGGACTCAGAGGCACTCTCAGTCTTATATAATCCTAAAACACGAAACCAGTTTATTGATGAACTTTATGAGGTAAGCTATACAAGGTTAGATGTTTGCTTTTCCCATCATGCACTACATAGGTCAGGATTTTCTTTTATTCAGTTCACACTCGCCACACAGACCCATTCCCTTATGTTTAGGCCAAAATTTGCTGCTTACAGCATATTTGAGGGAACTGTACTTAAAATATAGAGCTATGCGAGTGACACCAGCATCAGCAACACAGATCTATGTAAGAGATAATGAGAGGGTTGTTGGTTACCATATGTTTACTGTATTCCTATATTATCCTCCCATGGTATTTTTTTTACTCCCAGTTGTTTGTGTATTATTCCCAGAATTTGTCATCATTGAAATGTTTTAAATTTTGGAGGGAACAGTTGAAATATTTGCAAGTAATATTGTTACTACTTAGTTGTGTGCTTGAGCTGTTTGGGGGTAATAGTCTCCACGATCAGCTGACTCGGGTGTTTTCTCTCTTCTTTCCAGCTTCACTTGAGCTTTGCTTTTGTACCGCTGTTACCAAAACATTCTACTTTTATTTTTATACATATTTTATTCTCTTTAGCTGCAGAGAATGCAGGTCATGTACACTGCTTATGTTGTTGTTGGGAAAAGCATGAAGATTAGTTGTAATTCTCAGCTGTATAGTGATACTATTTGCTTCATTCATAGCTATTTGTTGATGAATGTATATATAAAACATCTAAAGCCACAATAATTTACTTCTTTCTTTCTTTCAACACACCAGCCGTATCCCACCGAGGCAGGGTGGCCCAAAAGGAAAAACAAGTTTCTCCTTTTACATTTAGTAATATAAACAGGAGAAGGGGTTACTAGCCTCTTGCTCCCGGCATTTTAGTCGCCTCTTACAACACGCATGGCTTACGGAGGAAGAATTCTGTTCCACTTCCCCATGGAGGAATAATTTACTTATCTTGCAATATTTAGAGCAAAGCAGTGCACTAAAAAATATCTTCAGTGTTGAATACATCATAAACTATTGTATCTATCTGACTTCTTTTCAAGTGACATTTTCATTTCTAATTTCTCTTGTACTTTTCCACAATTAACCTTTTACTCTGCTACAATACTCTTGACTCACACACACCTACTCTTTTACTCTCCCACAATTATTACTATTCAAAAATTAGAAATTTTATATATCTTATTCTAATTCTTTCAAAAAATCGGGTGTATCCCGAGGCAGGGTGTTCCAAAAAGAAAAACTAGTTTCTTTTCTTACCTTTAGTAATGTATACAGGAGAAGGGGTTATTAGGCCCTTGCTTCCGACATTTTAGTCTCCTCTTATGACACGCATGGCTTATGGAGGAAGACTTCTGTTCCATTTCCCCATGGAGATAAGAGGAAATGAACAAAAACTATTAAGAAAATAGAAGAAAACCCAGAGGGGTGTGTATATATATGCTTTTACATACATGTGTAGTGTGACTGAAGAGAAGTAGTAAGATGTGCTTGAAATCTTGCATGTTTATGAGATAGAAAAGAAGACACCAGCAATCCCACCATCATGCTAAACAATTACAGGCTTCTGTTTTACAATCACTTGGCAGGATGGTAGTACCTCCCTGGGCAGTTGCTGTCTACCAACCTCCTACCTAGTTATCTTATTCATGTGTCTTTTAATGCCTGGGAAATGTAGCAGTCAGATTTAATCCAGGAAAAGGGAGGATTGCTCCAATCAAGGCACATTATTTGTAAAGCTACAATAAGGAGCATCATTCTTTGGCTTACTTCTCAAAGCTTTAGGTCAGAAAAAAATTAAACTAAATTGCAAATCTCATTATCTTTTATTTTTTACTTTTCTACAGCTTCAAGGTTTTCTAGGGCAGCGTATCTCTGAGCTCAAGTATGAGGGCTCAGTATTCTTCAACCAGTTTTCAAATGCGGCAATATCAGTCCAAGATCATACTGCAGATCAAGTTGCAGAAATGCTCTCACAAGTCAAGTCACTTTTGGCTAAGCTTTCTACAACCAAGATGCAGCATCTCTACCTCATAAGTTCCTCAGCAAGGTATTTCTCTTAAATTTCTATTTCATAAAGCTCATAACGTCTGTTGGTCATTCAATGCAAGGAGTCCTGTTGGTGAGCTGTATTTTTATTTTGTCGAGTTGTATAACTTACCTTTTTCTTTACCTGAATAAGTTCTTGACATTTAATTGTTTTATTGTTTGAAAGTTGTTTATTCAGTGTTTACATATCAGATAATCAGTGCAGTAAACTAGTGTGTTAACTTTGTCCAACTTAGCAAAGCTTATAGATCCTTGGAGGTTCATTCTAACATTTATGCAAATCACCATGAACACTAGTGATATGTGTGACAGTTGTCATATCTGTATTATTATTTAAAGCCAAAATCTTTAAAGTACTGTGCCTTTACTCTGTAGAAGGGATGAAGATATTGCAGTTCAGAGGGTCACCTGAGCTGTGATGTCAACACTTTTGGCAAGGCAGTCATTGAATAAATAACTGAATATGTCATCTCTGAGCAACCCAAAATGAATCCAAAATTTTTCATTTTCATTTTAGTAATTGCATACAGAAAAAAAAGTGGCAATAGTCTTTTAAGATGCTTGGCCATAGCTGCCTGGGTTATCTTTGAGAGGTATGCAGCTGACCATTAGGTCAACATTTGTGTGACTACACTCACCAGTCTACTCTTATTCCTGGAGTATTATTACTGAGACATCACAGCATTTTTTTTCAAAAGGCTTCTGCCCTGGTAAGACCTTTGGCATTCCGCTTCATCCATTCTGATACTGTGCTGGGAGCTTCTCATGACTGCTCTTCTGTTCTCTGTATTGGGCTGACGAAACATTTCCATTATAAAGATTCCCAAGTGTCTCATTTCTCAGTCTCGCAGCAGCAGATGGTCTGGATACAGATTCTCTCCTAGAAAAAAATCAGAGAGGCTCAGCTTGTAACAGACAGAAACCGTGTGTGTTAGACAGTATTATGATGCTGCTGCTGTAATGTCAATTATTATTATAATCAAAAAGAAGCGCTAAGCTACAAGGGCTATACAGCCCTGCAGGGTAGGGAAGGAAGCGAGGGTATTGGATGGCAGAAGGGAGGAGGGATGATCAGTAGGTTACAGAAAACAGCGGGGCAGGGGATAGTACGGGGGTAGAGGGTAGCAAGAGATTGAAGTAGAAAGGGCTGAAGGTATCAGAATTTGTGAAGTCAGTCAGTTGTTGTCAAAAAGTCAATGAGAGAGTCCGGATGAAAGGTGGGTCCATCAGCGAGAAGGGAAGGTAAAGAGAGAGTAGCGGAGCGAAGACGACGACGGAGGTAAATTCTGCCTGCTCGTTGATAAAGTGGGCAGTCCAACAGAATGTGGCTGACTGATAATGGAGCTTGGCAATTCTCAGAGAGAGGAGCAGGGCGCCTCTCCATGAGATATCCATGAGTAAGACGAGTATGGCCAATGCGAAGACGGGAGAGAGTAGTCTCCCAACCTCGACACTGGTGATAAGAAGACGGCCAGTAACTATATACACTACTTGGTTTAATAGATTGAAGTTTGTTGCCAAGCATAGTAGACCAACGTTTTTGCCAACGGGTGTGAAGGTGGGAAGATATTGCAGCAAAATAGTCCGTAAATGGAATACCTCTATATGAAACTGGTAGGTCATGTACTGCTGACCGCGCAGCAGTGTCTGCCTGTTCATTGCCCTGTACGTCAACATGACCAGGGACCCAACAAAAAACAAGATCTTTATGCTTGGTAAAGATGCGGCGTAGCCAAAGTTGGATATGGAGGACTAAGGGGTGAGGTGTATCAAATTTCTGTATAGCCTGTAAAGCACTAAGGGAGTCTGAGACAACCACAAATGATGACACAGGCATAGATGCAATACGGATAAGTGCTGCAAGGATGGCATACAATTCAGCAGTAAAAATACTAGCCGAAGATAGTAAATGCCCTCGTATGACGCTGTCCGGAAACACTGCTGCGAATCCTACGCCATCAGAAGACTTAGAGCCATCTGTGTACACAGCAATGGCATGAGAATGAGTGAAAGTGGTCAAGAAAAAGAGAGCGGGAAGCGACCGTAGACAGTTGGGCTTTTGAGCAAGGGAGAGAGAAAGAACAGACTCGAACAGCTGGAACTTCCCAGGGGGGTAGGGAAAAGTGAGATGCTACATGAACATAGAAAGGTGGTAATTGAAGAGAAGACAAGAGCGAATGAAGGCGAAGAGAGAAGGGACGGAGTAAACAGGGGCGGCGAACAAATAAAGAATGTCTACTAGTATCAGTGACCATTCTATAAATGGAAGGATTGCGGAGATCATGAGAGCGTACATAGTAGCAAAGGCAATGGGCATCACGGCGATCGGATAAGGATGGAACGTTCGCTTCTGCATAGAGGCTCTCGACAGGGGAAGAGCGAAAACCACCAAGGCATAAACGTAATCCTTGGTGATGAATGGGGTTAAGGCTAGAGAGTAGCAGGAGATGCCGCTGAATAGATCTGGTCACCATAATCAAGTTTCGATAAAATAAGGGTGGAATGTAGGAGAAGGAGTGTTCGACGATCAGCTCCCCATGAAAGATGAGCAAGGGTTTTAAGAAGGTTCAGCCGGCTGTGACAAGTTGCCTTCAGAGAGGTAATGTGAGGTTTCCAGGATAACCTACGGTCAAAGAGGAGGCCCAGAAACTTGACTGTATCACGTTCAGGGATACGGGAGCCATAGAGGTACAAAGGATGATCGGAGATGACAGAGTGTCTAGTGAAAGTAATTTGGTGGGTTTTAGTGCTGGAAATTTTAAACCCATGTGTGGTGGCCCAATTGGAAACACGGTCGACTGCATGCTGGAGAGAAACTGTAATGAGGTGACAGTCAGCGCCTGCACAGGCAATAGTGAAGTCATCAACATAGAGTGATGACCAAATATTTGATGGAAGACTAGAGGCCAAATCATTAATAGCAAGGAGAAAAACTGTTGTGCTCAGAACACATCCCTGGGGGACACCTTCAGCTTGGATAAAGTCCGGGGAGAGCACATTGTTAACCCAAACACGGAAATGCCTGTCAGTTAAAAAGTTCTTAAGGAAGGATGGTAGATTGCCTCGAAGGCCTAAGGAGTGGGCTTGGGCTAAAATATTATACCTCCAAGTTGTGTCATATGCCTTCTCAAGGTCAAAAAATATGGCAATAACTGAGTGGTTATTCGCAAAGGCATTATGAACATACGTATCCAAGCGTAGTAAGGGGTCTATGGTAGAACGTCCCTTACGAAAGCCATATTGACGAGTGGAGAGAATGTTGTGTGTCTCTAAATACCACACTAAACGTCTATTTACTAGGCGTTCCATCACTTTGCAAACTGCACTGGTAAGAGCAATGGGACGATAGTGGGAGGTTTCATGTCCCGTAGTGCCTGGTTTGCGGAAAGGGAGAACAATGGCGGATTTCCACAGCTGTGGAAGAACTCCTTGTGACCAAATAAGATTGTAAAGGCGTAATAGGACTGCAAGGGCTGACTGATGTAAATGTTGTAGCATACGAATGTGAATGTCGTTGGGCCCAGCTGCCGATGATCAGCAAGCTGAGAGTGTTGCCTCCAGTTCTTGAAGTGTAAAAGGCACATTATACTGTTCTTCTCTGAGAGAAGAAAAGTCCAAGGGTGCTAACTCTCTGGCATAGATGGAGTCCCAGAGAAATACGAACCAGATGATTGCCAATTTCATTGGCAACATCTAGTGGGTTTGCTATATCAACACCGGCAACCCGCAGAACAGGAGCCGGGTCAGTAGAATATTTACCACTCAGTTTTCATACTTTTTTCCAGACTGCACTCATAGAGGAAGCAGAGGTGATGGTGGAGATATAATCTCGCCAGCCACTCTGTGGTTCTATTGTACCGGTACCTGCCCCATGCAGCGCGTTTCAAACGTACTGCATGAGCACAAGCAGGAGACCACCAAGGCACACATTTCTGAGAATGCCTGCCCGAAGTTTGGGGTATACAATTAGAAGCTGCGGTTAAAACGGAGGACAAGAAGAGGTGTAAAAGCTCATCGATGGAGGACGAAGAAGGAACCTCTCTAAAAACAGTTAGGTGTGAGTAAAGATTCCAATTTGCCTGATCAAATTGCCAGCGTGGGATGCGAAGAGGTGGTGAATATGAAGGGGAAGTAAGAATGATTGGGAAATGATCGCTGTCATGAAAGTCCAGGAGAACAGACCAAGTGAAGTCTAATGCGGCAGAGGAAGAGCAGACTGAGAGATCGATGCAAGAGAGAGTGTGAGTCCAAGGATCAAAATGGGTGAGAGTACCTGTATTTAAAACATGGAGGGGTGGGTGGCAAGAAAAGCCTCTAACTGAATGCCATGGGAATCACAGTGAGACCCCCCCCCCAGAGGAAATGGTGGGCATTAAAATTGCCAAGTAACAGAATCGGTGGCGGTAATGACGAAACAAGAAAGGCAATATCCGGAATAGATAATGCCCGAGAAGGAGAGAGATATAAAGAACAAAGCGTATACCACCTATGCAAGTGGATACGGGCTGCTGTGTAATGCAGCGAAGTACGAACAAATAGCTGATGGTACGGAATATCAGTGCGTAGAAGAAGGGCACTTTCATTAAAGGTCCCATCAGGAAAAGGATCTGAAGAATACAATAAATTATAGCCTGAGATGGGAGACGTAACAGCAGAGTGTAATTTTGGTTCCTGTAAGCAAACACCAACAGGGGAAAACTGGGAGAGTAACATCCGAAGCTCACCCTGATTACCCCTGAGGCCGCGTATATTCCACTGTAAATAGGCCATGATTGGCAATGATAAAGATACCTGAAATCCGTAGGTAAGGGTTCCTATGGACTAGAGGGGTTAGAAAAGTCCACATGCGGAGGCAGTGGAAAACGTTCAAGCAGCGAAGGAACGGTGCACTGTGAAGAAAGGAGTTGCGCAGATGGAGCAGAGGAGAGAGAAGGAGCGGAGGGTGGATCAGTGTCCATTGATGGTTTGGTCTCTGCAATATATTCAGAGATTGCTTCAAGT